CGTTTTCACTACAATAAAAAAACTAAAACTCATAGTTTTCCAGGAAAGAATGATTACTTAATCTTGGAGCAAAGAAAGTAATTGCAATAACAATGATCATATATATACACACACGTATGTGTGCTTCTGTATGTATGTAGTTATATTATTCGAAAGTGCGTGGAACCATTACCATTATACAGGGATCAACTAACTAATCGTTGTGTGGTACAAAATTATGATGGGAAATATCTCACCATAAGAAGGAGGGAAAAGAAGCTTTTAGATCAACATTTGGTTATAAGAAGAGAATGAATTGAAGTTTTCAGATCAGTTCTGCAAATTGTATCTTAAGGTATAATCCTTCAAATTGGATAAATATTTGAAACTGGATCCTTCGTTATGGAAATTATTGCATTACGTTATTTTTCGTATTAGTATTGAAAAAAAAATTATTATAAAGAAATTTCATTTTATTATTAAAAAATCAAATAATTATTATGATGAAAATCATACAACTTAAGATATGATAGTAGTCTTTTTCATCAATGCCGAATAACCTTAGATTAGGTATTTCTCTCTTAAACATCACTTTCAAAATCGTAGTTTTCAAAGTGTAGGCATGAATTTCAAATAACGTATAAGTGTATGTAGTTTTCAAAATCGTAGTGTTGAAATAAATAAGTTACGCTCAAATTATATATTAAATGTAATTAAAAAACCACAAATTCAAGTAGAAAACCTAAATTGTAGAAGACAATTGGCTTAATGTCACAAGTATGGTAATTGATGATAATAGGTTGGTGTGATTTACTAATTCTTTAATAGCAGAAATGAAAACAAAATAAGTCGTTATCATCCACATATGTCACCATCTTGATTCACGAATTTGATACTTTAGTTTTAAAATTCTGATTGGTCACGGCTATTAGGACTTTGTACTGTTTACTTATACCGGCATTGTAAAGAGATTAGGACCAGACTTAAATTGATTTAAGTAAACAAGTAGTTGGCAAGTCAACTTTCCAAGGGACTTAGGTATGGTCTAGCCTTCACCTTAACACAACGGTCATCAAGTCTGTCCCCATAATTTGCTGTAAAAGCAAAGAAACAAAGACGACTCCAACCAACATTACCAATACAATACCTTCTTCTCTATCTATTGTTCCTCCATGGCAGTGGAAGAGATGGAAGAAAATAATCTCGTTGAGCAACAACATTTTGTTGATACTTCACGTCCCTTTAGCTCGGTAAAAGAAGCAGTTGCCATATTCGGCCAACGGATTATACTACCAGGACAAACTCATACTGTAAACCATAAACCGGTAAGCCCTATTGCTGCTATTCCTAGAATCAGCCACACCGCCTCTTTGCCATCTTCTCCATGGAAGCAACGCACCTCATTGCCTTCTTCTCCTCAAGGTCCAAAAGAAGAGTACATGGATGTTTTGAAGAAGCTTGAAGCCGAGATAACGGAAACAAAGACAGAGGTGAAGATGTTGAAGGAGAGAGAGTCAGAGACAGAGGTGGCTTTGGCTAATTTAAACGCCGATCTACATAAGAACATGTCAAAGATGGCTAAAGCCGAGGCCGATGCCGCAGGGAAGAGCGCAGCAGCCATGGCCAAATCGGTGAGCTTCAAGGAAACAAAAGAAAAGGGAAATGGAGAGGAAGAGAGGAGGAAAGAGCTGATGAGGAGGATGCAGAAGGAGTATCCTTCATTGGCTCAGATACTTGAGAGTAACAAAGGAGATGGAAACCGGTATTCTGCGAAGTCTAAGACGAAGAAGAAGAAACCTATCGTGCCTCTTGTGGGAGATTTCTTCTTCTTTTTCAAGAAGAAAGGGTCTTCGACTGAAATTTCTGGACCTCTTTACACTACCTCTTCCACCTTGCATTTTTAGCTGAAACGCCTAAAATCCTGAGAAAATCATGTTCACTGCAAGTGTATATACGTATGTATGCACATCAGTATTTGTTACATCTATGTGTGCGTGTGTGTGTGTGACTTTGTTTTTGTGTTTCTCTTTATTTGTCTCTTTGATTCTTTGTTTGGATGTTGTGTGCAAAGCATCAGTGTGTGTTACCTCCCCCTCCTATAACAATTACCTGCCAATTATAATCAATATTGATTGGGAAAATACAACTTAATCTAATAGTAACACTGATAAGATATAAAGCTATAATCTCGATCCAAATATTAATCACTGAAAAGTAAGTGATGATAAAAAGTTAGGAAGTCCGTTCATAAAAAGCAAAACTTTACATACCTTACTAGAGACAGATACCCGCAAACACCGAGCCTGGTGAGGAGAAGGAACTGGTTTCTGGAAGTAGACCACCTCCAGGGTTAGAACAAAATGTAACGATGAATTAAAGATGCTTAGAAGAAACATCCTCCTTTACTTTTTTTTATTATTGTTCCAACAGATTTAACAACAATGTGTAGGATCCATACAGAACAAAGAGGTAGAAATTACAACATGAATGAGGAAAAAACAGACAGAAATATAAAGTTGACACAAAGGGTCTTCTCAAAACTTTTTCAACAAATGCATCTTCCTTACTAAATCATTTTAAAGCCTGAGGTTTCTCAGGAGTTGACCCCATCTTGGAGTATCCTCATCAAAAATGTAAGTAAGAGGTGAAACTAATACTCCACTGCCTCCAACCTGCAATAACATTGGTGAACATTACTCGAAAAGCGAGGTAATGGTACACACGGACTTATGTGGAACATGATCAATGCATAGGTTGAAAGAGAAACAGTAAGTTCTACAACGCCAACTACCAATGAATTCCGAGCAGCTTATTTGTTAATCCAGAACTAGCACATCAACAATTAATGATCCATGTGGAAGTAAGATCAGTTGAGAAAGAAATGGCAGGGATTACTAACCGCTCTCAGTTGCTTCACAGAGTCGTATAGGGCCTTTTTTGGTACACAAATCACTATGGCATAGTAGTCAACTGATACTTTTCCATCTTTTGTACAGTAAACTGGACTAATTGTTGGTCCCTGCTCATTATAAGAGAAGCCATGAACAGTGAGTAAGAGAGAAAAAGCTTGGGCTTAAGAACCATTCTGAAACATTACCTGCAATCCTGACAATGATGGTTGGCTCAACACACGCTCAGCCACTTCGTCAGCACTACTTCCTCTCATGTTTGCAACAACCTGAAATGAAAAATATTACAGAAAAGAAAGCAAAAAGGGGAAATAAGGAAAAATCATCACAAGAACCATTTGCATACAGTGAATTGGCCATCAGCCTTCAGATGGGCTTCTAATCTCTCGAGAATCTCGTGTACTGTGTTTAATGCCCCTTTTCTCTCGGTCAATGCTCTTCTGCTTGCCACCAATGCAGCCTGAAGGTAAAAAGAATTGTTCAGGAATGATTGCCACCAAGAAATTCTAAACAGACAGTTCATGGATACAAGAATTTCACATCACCTGACTTTCCAGCACAACCCCTCCTTCAATTTCTTTCAAGTTGTTCTCTTTGAGTGTTGTCCCACTACTCACAAGGTCCAAAATGGCATCAGCTATTCCCATCTAATTAACAAGAACATATATGTCAAGAATTACTGCACAAAAAAATGGCACAAAACAATTACTGCTTGCACGACCAGAAAAAACATGCAAATCACAGCGTAACAGTCAAATATGTGATCCAGACACAACAAGCTGACAACATTATCCTCCACAACAGCAAAATCCAGAAAAATCTTTCCACTATAGGCAACTCTAAACTAGAAGAATAGTGTAGATTGATCTAACACATCAGTACACCAGATGTAATCATGAATATGCAGCAAAATGTATTTTCTTTGAAAACTTGATGTATTTTCTGTCCCTACGGATAATCGATGTTTGAAATTACAGTATAGCTTAGCCTAGTGTTGAAGGAGATTATATGGCTTAGATGTAAAACAGTGTAAACTCACCGCCGGAGCTGCCTCCAGGGCTCCGTCTGCAGTTGAAAAAGTCACATGCTTTATGCCGTTTTCTTTCATAAATTTGGGACCCAGCTGCAAAAAACCAGTTGAATCATTCCCAAATATTATATTGAAGCTAAATGCATCCTGCGAGAAATTTAATGACAACAGCGCACCAAAGGAGAATCTGTAATTCATCATACATAAGTGAAGCCCGTAGCAAGGCGTAAAGGTCTCTCCTCAGTCCACTGGGGCATTTGTGCGAGCTCCTTCAGAGAATTTATGTTCTCAAAAATCCCATAGTTGGGTATCTGAGATCATTTGAGATGCAATAAGAAAACCATCCGCGGTCATGATATGAGGATCCAAACCACATTATATTAGAGCATACCGCAATGGACAGATGGCAGTCTCCGAAGTTGAGAGCTTCATGAACAATGATAAGATCTTCATTTTCCTAAAAAGAAAACTCAAACATCTAAATTATGATGCAAACAAGGTCTTCGAGACAGAATTTAGAGAATCACAGGGAAAATCTATATTCTAAATCTTATAGGCTATCGCAGCAATATGGCATACAAATCTTCGAAGAATCAAATAAGAGAATGATGTCAACTGGCTTTTTTATCTTTACAATGAGCATCATGATAATAACCCGCACCGCTAAGAATTTATGCATACATATCAAAGCTATTCATGAGAAAACCATCATGGTTGTTACTTACCTGACCATATTCACTAAGTGTGTCAAGACCAACGATACCTAGATCCAGATCTCCTGAGAGTAACTTCCTGACAATGTCTTTTGGTCGTTGAAACCAGACTTCAGTGTTTGGTAACTTGAGGACATGAAAAGATCACCAATACAAGTCAAGATACACGGGAAAAAAAAACAGTCATTTTGAGTTTGCTTCGAATGCATACCTGAGGAATTTGTGCAACATATTGCCTCGGGTTGACTTGTTTGACAAATAGTTGACAGTCCTTCGCAGAAGCAATAACAAATGGAAAGAGTCAAAACGAGCGATCAGATTACAAATCACTAAGTGCACTTCACTCAAAGTGAGAGGTAAAACAACACTTGAGAGAGTACAGGCTTCCAATGAATATTTGTCAATGATCCGAGAAAGGACAAGAAAGAAACTCAAATGTTAAGAAACAAAGATCATCAAACGCAAACAATCCCTCACTTGCCTAGGATTCTACTAAAACCAAATCACCTCAGAATACACAAGTTATGAAACCAAAAGAAATCAAAAGTTTATAGTTTCAAATAAAGGAAATAGCCATGATTCAATCTTATAAAGACTGAAGATCTCAACTTCCTCCATTTAATTCACCAAAGCGTATCATTAAAAAGCATAACAGAGTATCAAAATCATTGACAAAGTTCTCAGAAACCATTGAAAGTTTCAAAAGCATAAGAGATTACATAGTAAAAGGATGACGAACACAGAAAGAGAAAGCTACTTATAAAAAAAAATATAAATTAGTCTCTGACGGATTCAGTAAACAAAATATGATTAGCCTCTAATTAAGCTACGATTTCAAGTTAATTATATGAGTATGGTAGTAGTAATTTCACTTTCAACGTTATCGCTTTACAGGGATAATCAATTTTCCATGGGAATTTGTCTTTTCTCGGGAAATATCCATTAGCGTATAGTCTCTGACCTTGAGGAGATCGATCGCATCGGCGGCCATGCGACCTTTGCTAGGAAGACCAAGACGAATCTGGTCTCGCTCGACGACAACGGCGGGGGCAGGGGAACCGTTGGCGACGGATCGTTGAACGGAGGAGACAGAGGAAGTGACGAATCGGAGGCATCTCCGGCGAGTTCCGAT